CCCCCCCCCCTCCCCCCCCCTACCCAGCGCAAAATCGGAAAAAGCAGACGAGACGAAGCGACCTTGAACAAGCAGTCGAAATAGTCAGCGCCCAAGAGCAACAGTAACCTCAGACCACAAAAAAGAAAAACAGTAGCTTATTTCGCATAGAGATGCTACGCACAGGAAGGTGGATTGAATACATGATACCGCACATATATGCACATTGGATTCACATCCCGACGGCAAGACTGTGGATTGTAGAAGCCGAAATCAAACCATCGCTGACTAGTCTTAACAGTTTGATTTCGGATTCTATAGGATACAGAAACAGGCCTTCCATGCATCTGAAATACCTCTACCCTTCTTTCACGAAACTGTCGGTCTCACTTCATCCATCAACCTAGCGTACGTACTGGAAACCTCCGACCCGGTGTCACGCACAAGAATAATCTAGCTCGAGAATGATCGTCCCTTCCAAGAATGGGGAGATTTCCCGGATTACACAAGTCACGCCGCGGTCATTCTCGACGAAACTACGCACGCAGTGGCGGAGATTCCCTGCTCCGTTAACGGATAACAGAAACCAACGCGAGTAACATTAGCAAGCACAACAACAAAAAGGAAGACTCTCGCGCATCGCCGTCCCACGCAAGCAACAGGACGTGTACAGCACCCCCGCCGACAAACGTTGCGGGCTAAGTAGACTCGTTACGTTTTTCAGGCATGAAGCAGTCTTGAAACGAAAACAATGATAACACGATGCCAACTCCGTTGGTGTACAACCAAGCTTGTGGTGAGAATTGCAAGAAGATATCCTCGCAGTTGAATGAAAGAAAAAGGTATCACGATCGTGGAAATGGCGGTGGTGTAGCATCACCTTCCCTGGTCGTCGCAGCGAATCCACGGCTCGAGGTTGGTCTTCAAGGCTACCCGCAGGTGCTCGCGGGAGCTCGGGTCTGAAACGATGTCCCTGGACAGGCGTGCAACGCAAAAAAGAATGGGGGGCACCCAAAAGTGCCACCAAGAACTCAAGCACGAGTACAGTAGCACGCAAACGACCAGGCGATAAAAAAATGTGCATCCAATCATGCACACAGCACAGAGCATGAAATAAAGGGTAGAGACAGCAAGCGAAATTTGATGAAAGATGTGGACCGCGAGAGGACAAAGCAACGGCGTTGACCTTGACTCGGGACTCAAACCGACGGCACCTCAAACGGCCACCAAAAGCGAACGAACATAAGGGGGGGGCTTTGACATCATGTTTTTTTTTTGTTATAACCCAGTCATGACCGGTCACGATCGGGTCATGTCACGACTGAGTCATGACCGAGTGATGACCCGATCATGATCACGATCACGATCTAACCCAATCATGTTCCCCACCGGAACATAGTACAGCGATGAACACAGACATTCTCCTTGAATCCGTGCGCACCTGCACCCTTGACGAAAGTCGTCGAACCGGTCCCAGTCCACATGTGATCCTCCTAGAAGGCTGTATCAGAAAGGGTGGAAAGGATGTCAAGCGTGGGGGGCTGTCAACTAACAAGACACACATCAGGCCAAGACACGTCAAGATAAACCATGAAGCAGAGAGAGGGAAGGCGAAGACGGAGAGAAACACAACGCCCTTCAACATTCAGTGTTTTCAGATAGAAAGGGCCAGTAAAGCAAATCGAAGAAACCTGCAACAAGAAATCGAGCAAAAGCGGCGGTTCAACATACGTATGCAGATGCATGCAAAACAAAACAAACGTCGTAGCGATAGGACATCTCGCTAGGGGGCAGAAGATAAAAAAAACATAAAAACCGACGTCATTCTACGAACTGCTGTAGCTCACTGGTGGAACGGAGTTGACAGAAACAGGCGCAGAGGAACAGGCAGCCCGCCGATCTCCGCCGTGTTCTGTGAGAAGGTGCTGCAGTAGGATCCCACAAAAAGCTGTACGACGTAGAGAACCGTTTGACGCAATTGGCACGGCAGTACACGCGTGTGGAGTAGTCTTGGAAGTCTTGGATATATTTAGAGTGTTGCTGTTGCGACGAAACAGATACTTTTTTTCTTATTTTATGAGCAACATGTGCTGATTCGGCCCAAGAATATGAAGTCTAAATCGCGAAAGATCCAGCCAAAATCTGGCGGCTGGGGTCGCGAAAATCGGATGTGAGGTCCAGTCACACGCCGCAGTCGCTCCCCGCCACCCATCACTCCAGAGTGCAATGGAGGCAGGCACACAAGGAACACAGCGCAATCTGACGGATATTGGGCTATCGCGACGGCTCTGCATCAGGTGTGAGGACAGGAGGAACGTGATGGCGAGTCATACGGACATGCACGGGTGCCATGGCAAGATGAAAATCTCGGCTACGTATTGGACAGTTTCTCTCCCGCCCCTCTCTCCTCTCCTTCTCCTCCTCTCTCCTTCTCCTCATCTCTCCCTCTCCCTGTTCTCGCTCTCTCCATAGCGGCGCATGAGGGAATGGGGCGCTCACGGCCGACAGTAGACGCAATATTCTCTTTGTCGTCCCCGAGCGGACAGGATAGAAACGGCCTTCAGCAGAAGCTTGCTCTGTCACGCTTTAGTGGCGCGCGCTGCTTAGCTTCTTAGCCCTGTTTCAAGACACCACCCCCGGTGCCGCCACCGCCGTTGCTGCGTGGTGTGATGTTGCTCCTTACCGGTGCCTCAGATAGCAGGGCGAGGTCGATAAGCGGCCCGGCGTTGTTAGAACCCTTGCCCCCTTTGTTGCCGCTGTGGGAGCGGTGGAACTTGTTCCCCTCTACGAACGCCACCTTTCCGCCTTGAGCCACCGTGTATTCTCCCTGAGAACGGAGGAAGGAAGACACAAGGAAACGCAAAAACGAAGGATACGAAAACAAACGGCAATTTGTGGCAGCCAGGACAACAAGACGTATTCCTCGTCGTACAGACACTATCTACACAGATGCGGGAATTCCCTCCACAACCTGAGGAAATCTACCCAGAACGGTTCGGCGAATGCTGATGCGAACGTGCTGGTGGGTCTTTGAAATCGGATGCGTGTCCACGGAAGGCACGCTGCCTAACTTGTGTTCTCCCACGTAATTATTCTACCTTGCCGAAGTACTCTTGGCTCCGCTTGGAATCTAGAGAGAAGATGAATCTTCGGGGGTGGATGGTTGAACCGCCCTCATTTCCGGGTCTCCATTCGATAGACGTTGGGGTATGAATACTCGTAGGCATGGAATGGTATCTAGAGTCGCCATCCATGTGTTCGCCCTGGAAAGAGAGGGCACGGCGAACATAAACTAGAAGAAAAGAACTACACATTTTCCACCAATCCTTAACAAACAAAAGAACTCATCTCGAGACAACACGAGGCCGTTAACCCGGCAAGTGATGAATGCAGTTTTCCCCTCTGCTTTAAACCAATCTCCATGACTCGGAGTGTGTGGCATTAGACGCACGGGGGGGGCGTGAGGAGCTCCACCGCAAGAGGACCTGCCGGCAAAAGGTGTCCACTTGCGCAGAGGCAGTCACCCCCCCCCC